GCCAAAATCAAGTTAAAATACTTTATAAATACATACAAACACATAAGCAGCAAGCTCAAAAGTGTGCGTGTGTGTCAAGTCAAATGTCAAAATTGAAAGCGGTGTAAACAGCGCCGATATTGTTATGTGAGATACAAACATATACATATGAGTATGTCGGCAAAAACAAGCACATTGCCATCACTACACAACTGTTGCTAATCGCGTAAGCCACCAACAACAGCAAAAATAGCAATGTTTGTATATGAGTATAGTTGCAAATCGATTTAATTATGTAAATGCGAAGCAGCTCTAAGCGCAGCAACAACAAATGATCAAGTGACAGCGGGCGGCAGCGGTTTAATAGCAGCACCAACAGTAACACCAGCCAATAACTGCCAAAAATGTACATTATTTGTGTATGTATGTATATGTGGAACAGGCGAATAATGCAAAGTGAGTGTAGAAAAGATAAATATGAAACACTATTTAAATGAAAAATTATAAAAAAGTAAAAAAATGACAAAAGGTGATTATATGGATGGACTATACAAATATGTGAAATATATATATGAAGATACATGTACATATAGATTCATGAAATAGGCCAAACTTGTATTGTAAAATTTACTGGTTGAGGGTATTATGGTAGCCATGGCTGTAATATTTTTATACCAATAGGCTGTAAACGGTAAAATTAAGCGAGAAGGCTCAACCAGTTGAGAAGAAATTTCCAAAATTACAAAAAAACATATATATATTCAGATTTGATCAGATCTGAAATAAGAAATTGTTTAAAGACTGAGTTTTGTTTAATTAATTTCTGCAATATTTCTCATATATAAGTGTTTTATTCACGGCTACTTCAGTAGTTATATTTTAGCTTAAAATTTATTTTGATAAGATTTGTACCTGGTTCATCTGTCATTATTGCTGATTAGTTTATAATGTTATCTTCTAAAAATATTCTATATATTTCGCCATATTAACTCGCAATAATATCAAGATATATTAGTCCTTATTGAATAATAAAAAAATATCCGTTCGATTTTTCGAAAAAAATTAATGAAACACCTAGTGTTTATGCGGTCACACAAATGTGATTTTTTGTTTGTTTTTTTTAAACTACTATACAAAAGATAAATATATATTATAACATGTTTAATGAATATACACAATAATTTTCAAAGGATTTAGTTAAACGTTATTGCCGCCGCTGTTGCTGTTATTGCGCTCTTCACCGTGGCTCAAAACAAAAATGTATAAAAAAATTATTGATCTGTCAGGTGTTGACTATAAAATAACTTTCGATTGTTAGAAAATATCAAACTTAACAGAATGGCAGATTTTGAAAAAAATGACGAACTTTTCTCAAATATTAGATGAACCCGCCAAAATTATTTTTTCATACAATCGGAAAACTGGTAGGTAAAATAAGGCATTGTACAGAAAAAAAAGCAGACAAAAATTTAAGCGATCAGATGATTTGTCTTCGAGTTACAACTGCAATCAATTTGAAAAATGTAGTTTTGAGAAAAACATGTTTAAAGAGAAATTGATGGAGCTGATTAAGGTGAGCGGTTTCTCTTCATTTTAACTATTACTAGCATATTATGCTTAAAAAATGTTTATGTTGTTTTTATGTCAACTCAAAAGCGACAGTTTTTTTTTTAGACGTTTTATGGATGAATATTATATTTTAAAGAAAATTACCGTTTTTTTATATATATACTCGTAGTAAGAAAATTAAGTATTTGTAACATGAATAAATCCAAAAAAATTTACTTCACATTATAAAAAATTTCGTATACTACTTCTAATTAATATTTTTTTTCAGTAAAGATATCTATCAATTTAGATCTTATAATAAATATTGTATCTATATTTTATATAGAATTTATCTAATGTAAGTAAAAATTAAAAAATTTAAACAATGTGTCCCAAGTTAATTAAGTATTTAATTATATTAAGAAACTATTACGTAAAATTTTCTATATTTTGAACAGAGTTGGGACCAATCAAACAAATTAAAGCCTGAGCAAAAGATTTTAAATTATATTGCAAACATAAGCATTTAAGAAACTCCTTATTTAATATACTAACACATGTGATATATTTAGGAATGAATTAGTTAAGGATAAGAAACAGTAGAAAGGATTTTTGATTTATGTAAGGCAAGACCAATATTATATAGACGTTACAATGACTGCTGAATCTGCTCTATTTAAAAAAAAAACAGATATCGTCGTACTCAAAAAACCTCATTGACTGATATAATTAATACTTAAAGATCGAAAATTTATTTAAATTGTGTATGGAATAAATAGTATAAATAAAAAATACTATATAAAATTATTCACTTATTTTTAACAGATTTGTATGAAAAAAAATCACCAAGTCACGATTGAACCTTTTTGTATCTGAATAAAATTCGGATAATACGTACATAGTTTTCCTTTTGAAATAAATTAGAATGTTAAAAATGAATCCTAAGCTCAGCGACAGATGCTAATTTCTAAACAACCATTATCACTTCAAGTATTATTTACTTTTTCTAAATTTAAAGCTTTTTACTTATGCAAAAAACCAATTAACAGTCATCACTTAATCTGTAGCAGTTGAAATAAATAACAACAAAAAGCTGTAAAGCAACAAAAAACATTTAGTCACAAAAAAACCAATTGAAGATGACGAGCAGCAGAAGAAGAGCTGGCAGCTTAACGCAATTTTGCGAATTCGATGCAGCCAACGCGGCCAAATCAGCGCAGCAACTTGTGCTTACTCATTAGCAAGCTAATACAGACGCCAACGTCGACGCTAACTCAGCATAGTCATTTGTTAATTTTGCTACTGTTTTTGTTATTGTGGCTGGCAATGCGAATTGGAGAGTGTCTGCAATGAAATAAGAGTGGTCCACAGATGCAGCCGGCCACTCGGCTCTACCGTAATCAGGCGCTGCAGCGTCTGCAGGGCAGAGCCAATACGCGAAATGAACGCAGACAACGACGATTAGCCGATTGACGATTAACTGTTGGTGTGCTGAACGCCATATGTGTCGCGATATTTGCCAAATGGCCAATATTTGTTGTTGCCTGTATTTACCCCACTTGTTGTTATTGTTGATGCTGCAGCCAACTATTGTGTGCTGTCGATAGTTTTGTTTCTTTTTTTTTTTGATTTTTTGTTGTTTTGCTTGTTATTACAAAAATTGCGAAATCGCGCCTAATTTATGGTGATACTCGGCGGCGCTCGGCGACCGCCGTCGATCACACAAGCGCACTGGTCAATTAATTGCTGGCTAGTTTGTGGTTGTGCATGTGTGTGTGTGTGGTTGAGTTTGGTATTTTTAGTGTAAACTTCGTGGTTTCAATTGTTTTTCTCGGCTTTTGACTGCTGCTAATCATTTGCAGTTTATTGTTGTTGCTTCTGGGGAGGTATTTAGTGCAAATTTTTAAATGATTTTTTTGTTGTTTATTTTCGAAAATGTTCTAAGTTATTTAAATTAAAATGCCGATTTTCTAACATATGTTTTAGAAATTGATTAAATCTGTTTAATAAAATATGCAAATTTATAAGGTGTTTCCGGTTTTTTTGAATTCTAAATCTCCTTTTTTCGGCAATTGGTTGCATACATAATTTTTTAAGTTATTTGCAATTTATGATCACTAAATCTCGTTGGGAGTTGGTTAACCTTTACTACTGCATATATTTCCGTCTTTTTTTACTTGAGCTTTTTGTGAAATTTACTTAAGTAAATTATTAAACTTTTTTATTCCGTTATTGGTGTTGTGTGTGGTAGGTGATGAAGAAGAGAGCAAAATTAATAAATGAAATGACTCCAAATTTGTTCAAAATACAATAAATTTATTTAATTTAGTTAATCTTTTTTCTACAAAAAAAATAGTAAATGTAAACAAAATACAAATAATTTTATATGAAAAACAAATTCTACATGATTTCAATTTCTTTCCGCAAATTATTTTATTTCTTTTAACAAAAAAAATTATTTTCAGTTTGCCTATTTTTATATTTTGTAAGTCAAATTTAGTGTTTTCAAACTCTCTTAGATGTTTTTTTTTTAATTCAAGTTCAGTGTTTTGCTTTTTATTTATGTTTAACTCGAGACTTATATCAGCTTTTTTAAATCGCCTTTTTTTATTTAAATGCGTGTAGACTGCAGTTTATTATTGGTAAATGATTTGTTATTTCATTTAAAAAAATATTTATTCTATATATATTATAAATTAAATTACATTACAATATTTTTAGAGTGTTTATTTTAAACTGCGATTTTTTCCAAAAACAAAACTTTTATAATTTTGACGCAAACGCAAAACACTGCACTTATAAATATTTAAAAACTAAACTTAAAAAAAAAACTTTACTACTTTAAACCTTTATACATTATATACGCACTTTGAATTTTACAATAGTTAAAAAATATATATTTATTTATAATACTGAATAATAATTTTTTTAAGCAGTAGCTATTTTTGTTATTGAAAAACAATATTTGAAAACATTTTTTTAAACATAGCTTGATAAAAGCTCAATAACAAATTTTATTTTTAGTAATTTTGTTGTTTTATTTTTAAATTTTGAATTTCGACATATATTTTTGAAAAATTTAAAAATTTTCAAAAATCGAGAAAAATTTCGCTGAAAAATATGAGAAATTATTCTCCTATGAAAATTTAGAAACAAAAATATTTTTCATCGTTATCGTACTGGTAAATCTATATTTTTTTTTAATTAAAAAAATTTTAATTTCTTAAAAGAACTTTGATTACACTTTGTTACTATTTATTTTTTCTAAGACTGGCATATGAAAATACAATAGTAAAATGATTTATTTAAACAAAAAACATTTTTAAAATGTGTATCTGCTTATCAAGACCAACGTATCCTAGAGATCCAACAGCTTCCTATTAAAGAAATTTTCCAAATACTTCGAAGGCAATTTCTTAATTTAATTAAAAAATAAATACAAACACATAATCAATAAAATTTGTTGAGCTTACATGTAAGTTTCTGTGAAAAAATGCGCAGCTCAGCTCAGTACACTTTCCGCACGAATGCGCCCAATCGCCAAGCGTTCTCCTTTGAAAGGTTTTATGTTTTATACAATTTATATTACATACACACTGAATTCATAGTAAACACTCTTTAGAACGAAAAAATTATATAAATCTTTAAACGCGTAGAGAATTGCAGATTTATTGAAATATAATACTCTTAAACTTTTCTCCAACAAAAATCACATAAATTTCAAAAACGAAAATTGCACAAAAACTATTAAACACACACAAATAAAACTATTGACAAACTGTTATTAAATATATCCTGCGAGCGAGCAACTGACAGCGGAACGTTATTCTTTACTTTTTATAAACAATTTTTTGTTTTATGTTTTTTGTCAAAGTTCGACGAACACATGCGACTATGACACAAGCGCGTATCCTTTGTACTATTCGGTCGTTGCATAGACTTAAACACTACAATTTTTTAATAAAACACTATTTTATATTATTTTTCATGTTTTCGTTATATCACTTAATATTTATAAATATTTTTATATATTTTTGAAACTTTTAAGGCAGAATTAAAATGCTTTTATTTTTTCACTTGCTTTTTGCTTAACTTTATTTGTTAGATTTACTTGTATTTTTCATTCATGTTAATGTTATATTTATCCGTAGTATACGCAGTGATCTCTTAGGCAACCAACCGATCTCTGCGACTGTGCGTGCTCATCAAGCTGGACGCGCGCGCGAGCGTGTCTCGTTTTGAAGTTATCACGACGAAATGAAAAGCTCGCTTGAATGGACCGCGCCAGTTGTCAGTTGGTTTTGTTGAAGTTTTCGAAACCCCAACTACGGCAATAGCAGCGTTACTCGAAGCAATGCTTACTACTCCGCATGCATATGTACTGTCGTTTGCTGCAGCAGTAGCAGCGGCAGCGCGGTTCAAAGCTTTGACATCACAGCGTGCCGACTAAGTAAGTTGCGCAGCGGCGGCGCAGAATTTAGCCTAGTCGGGCTCCCAAGTGACTTGTGTCGTTGCATTTTCACCACGAACTTACAGTTAGTTAGCCAAGTTAAAGACGAAGTGGTGAGCGTACGACATCGGCACGTGCGATCGCTTGTAAGTGAGTTGTATTGTGTGATAGCGATCGTGTTTGCGATCGAGAGCGCCTGGCTGGTAGACGAGGGTGTTATTTGCGCTGTAGTTTGAGCTTGTTTGTATACAACTCCGTAAGCCGGGCTTAAGGTACACAACAGGGTATATGAATAAGCATACAATACCGTTATTGTGATCGTATGTGAACGAAAAGTGACTCGATCCTCGCTGTTTAGAGGTGTGAAGGTATGCATACATATGTTTCTTTATTATTTCTTACGCTTACCTTCTACAGTTATTTTTAAATACAGCTTTGTGGTTACAGTGAATCTCTCGTATTCTCGAAAAATACATTCATCGATGTCAATATTTTTAGCTGTGTAATATTTACTCAAAACTAAAACTTAAGGAACTCACTCTAAGCGGGTCGTTTGAAGTTCACGTCAGAGCTTAATTGTTATCACTTTTTGGAACTCCTAGCAGATGTGGTGAATTCTCCGTTTTAGTGAGCGGAGAGCGCATACTTCCATGCAATATTTTTCATATCTCATTTGCAGCCTTTCAAAACGGCTGTTTGTCGTTGCTGCTGTAAAGGGGATTTCCGCTTGTCACTGAATCATTCTATGTTTATTTATCTTCAAAAGCTTTACTCAGAGCTATGATTTTTGTTTGTTAAATTGTTGTTTGTGTAAAATAAATATAGATGGAGCTATATATATATATATTTTTATTAGGGTGTGTAAAATAAAATTCAACTTAAAATGATTTTTTTCATCGAGTGATAAAATGCAAAAGAAAAACACAAATTTGCCTTAAAATAGTCAAACTTCAAACGTTAATATCTTTTAAATGGTTAGGTTTACGAAATGATCGTAAGAAAGCATTTTGTAGAGCATTCAACTTCTACAAAATCTATGAAACGAGATATTTTTTCAAGTAGTTCGAAGAGAGATATGAATTTTTCTATCTGTTAATAAAAAAAAATTAAAACTAATTGTAAGGCCTTCCCGTTCGAAATAAGAGCTCAAACTTAGAAAATCTTTCTTACATGAACAAATTTGACGTGAAACAAATTAGATTTTTTTTGACCCACCCTAATATATACATGTATTCACTACAACTTTTACCGTCTACTCACGTCGTCATGAAGCTGTTCTTGTTTATTTGGCTATGTACATAAAAATAGGTGTCTAAATGACATGTTTGTTATGGAAATATTTCTCAAAAGCCTACGCACATGCCGTGTTGCAACATTTAAATGCGCAAAATTCTTGGAAAAGTTAAGGACACATACGAAGTGTTCACAATACTTGCGAATTTCACGTAATTAATAAAAGTTAAGCTTTCACATTATACATCGAAATCTATGCAGCGCGCAAAGATTTGATGAACCTGTGATCTGTTCTTCCCCCGAAGTTGATAAAAATCTAAAATATGGGCTTGCCAAAAATGTGCAATTTTTGCGTAAAAACTTAAAAGTAACCCAAAACGGATGACTGTCAAAACTCATTTCAGGTGAGGCAGAATTCTTTATACCGAGAGTATGAAGGCGTTTTATGAAGACAGTGATTTTTGGTATAAAAAATAGTTTCTGAGAAAACAGTTTTTATATTCCAACGTTTATAGACTAATTCACTTTTACGTAAGCAAATCTCCTTAAGTCAACAATTCCGCGTCAAATTTTTCGCGAGTCGTAGCCAATCTCTTTTTCTTCTTGTCATAAAATTTACCTTGCGAAGGAACAGCGAAGACGCATAGTAGATACTCAATGAAATTTGTTTTATTTTTTTGAATGAAAAAACAGCTTTTTTTCGACTTTATCTCCACCTAGTGCTGCGACATTTCGATACCGTTTAGATTGTATGAAGTGTCGAAGTCTTCAAAATACTTGTTTTCCACTTGACTTTCTCATTTAGTGAAACATTTGCAGCGAGCCACTTTTTGAGAATTTGAAAGAGAAAATAGTTGCAGGCGCACTAGTTCATAGCGTAACTCCGTCAATTTGTCGGTCGTGGCACAAGCTGTATGAGTTGGAATGCGGTATTGAAACATTGACTGCATTCCATTTATGTTTAGTATTCTAAGGCAAGGATAGAAATTTTTGCTTGTGATGCGATCTCTCGGGTAGGATAAAAAATTTTCTAACTTGCTATCGAGACATATATTTTTTTTTTTTTGATAATACCAATTTATTCTATTGGTGCCATTTGTTTGTTCGATTTGCCAGTTTTCAATGTTTTCAGATATAAACAACCATAATCGAAAATACTATATTAGGTATTATTATTTTTCAGCGGAGTGTTCAGTTTTAGACAAAAAGACCGTTCAACAGAGAGGTCGTTAAAATAGCTAGGAGAGATTTTTTTCACTAAGCATAACCAATACAGTTACATTGGAAATAGTTTAAAAGCCGACTTGTAGATAATGGTGACCGCGCCTCTTTTTCTGGATCTTCTCCAAGATTACTGAGTGAATCCATCTATTTGTCGGTCTACGTTGATACGATGTGATCTAAAATACAAAATAAACATCGGAGAGCGTCAAAAGTATAAATAGAAATGATCAGCGTGACGAGTTGAGTCGATTTAGCCATGTGCATTTGTCTGCATATACCTAAACTACAAGGCGCGTTACAAAGAAAACAGGACTTAAAAAAAAAAAAGACGGAACAAATGGTTTTATCGGAAAAATTAATTAATTTTATTCAAAATAGTCTCCTTCTGCTTTAATACAGCTTTTTGCACGGTCCAAAAGCATGTCGAACGAGTGTTTTAGCTCGTTGCCCGGTATGGCCGCCAGTATGCCGATGCAAGTTTGATTGGCCTCCACGTCTGCATAACGCTTTCCTTTCATCGCCAAATGCATTTTGCCGAAAAGGTAGAAGTCGCACGGTGCCATATCAGGTGAATACGGGGAGTAGTTGATTGTTAAAGTGTTATTTTTGGCCAAATAATCGGCCACAAGCGTCGATCGATGAGACGGCGCATTATCGTGCAACAAACGCCAACTTCCATCTTCGCGATATTCGGGCCGAACACGTCGAATACGGCGCACCAAACGCTTCAAAACTCCAAGGTAGAATAACGCATTAATGTTTTGGCCGGGTGGAACAAATTCTTTGTGGACAATACCCTTGGAATCATAAAAACAAATCAGCATTGTCTTCCCTTTTGACTTCTCCAGGCGCGATTTTTTGGGTTTCCGCTCATTTCTCATTTATGTCCTCACGACCTCTTTGAAAACGTTGAAACCACTCGTGCACTCTGCTACGGGATAGGCAATCATCGCCATAAACTATTTTTATCAATTGAAACGTCTCGATAAAAGTTTTACCAATTTGAAAACAAAATTTAATGTTGGCTCTTTGTTCTAAGCTCATTTTCGCACCGATGACACAAACATACTGACACTTAAAACGCAATAACTTCACTTCCAATTGATGATATGTCCTGAAATTTTTACTGGAAGTCGATAAAGGATAGCAGATTCTAACGCACTAGTCGACATATAGATGGCGCCACTAGAGTTTACTTTGTTACTTTTTTACTGTTTACTTTGGAACGCACCTTGTAGTCCCTCATTTTTTGAGATATCGATCTGAAATTCTCCCCAAGAAGCTGTTCATTTGTTGGAATCGCCAATATCTAACCATTATAGTATAAAGCTGCCGTACAAACTAAACGATCATTATGATGTCCTTGTATGGAAAAGTTTTTTTATTTTACAATATATCTTCACGAAAATTGGCGTAGATTACTATCCAAGGCGACGCTTTGAACTACGAACAAATTATTTAGATTGTATCACTATAGCATGGAGCTGCTATACAAACTGACTGATCGAAATTAAGGTAAATGTCTTTTTATACATTTTTATGATATGAGATAAAAGGCACCTACCATAATAAGCTTCGGTGCAGCTGAAAATAAGGTTTTTTCTTGTTTTATAATTTTAAATAATCACATATTTAAAAACGAAGATTACAGAGCACATAAAATTGCAATATTACAAATAATACCAATACGGAAGTAAATTCATTTTAATTACACATTCTTTAAGATATAATTTTTTTTAAGGTAGAATAAGAAGCAGATCAGAATTGTGCGATTTATTCCATTTTAAATTATGACTAGAAATATTTAAATCAGTTGGGACGAGGAAACTGACGTTCTTACTTATTTTTAATTGGACTTAACTTTGTTGGCGAAACTTTTTTTTTACTATCTTCCTCATTAAAAATCATCCTCAGTCCTATCGTGCGCCATCACTCAGTTTTCGCGTTGAGTTAATGAGCCTCGGGAAATATATATGAATACAGAATGCAACAGCGTTGATTTTGACAAGTAGACACGACACTGACGCGAAGTTTACTTAAAAACACTAGTATATGAAAGAATTTGTAGGAAATACCGTTTAATAAATAAACTGTAAATTACATTAATTACATCAGCTTCTTTGTTCGTTATATATTATTAAAAAATATATAAATTATATTCTAACCAAAAATGTCAAAGAAAAAAGAAAAATTAATACAATTATTTTCATTCAGTAAATATTTGTGTAACGTAGTTTGTTAATTTTTTTAAATAACTACTTCTTTATTATAAATATATTCAAAATAATATGAACATAACCATTTTCTTTATTTTACAATAACTTAAACTTTCATAATTCATTTTATGGAAAAAATTATTAAAAGTGTTCCCCAAATCCATTCTATTAATGGAAAAATGTCATATGTACACCCACAATTATTAACAAATAAGTAAACAAATTGCGATGGAGTCATCACTTGTTTTCTTTCTCCGGTATTTACTATATACAAGTAATCACAAAATCCAACCGGCTCGTGCTTCACATTAAAAAGAAACTATAAAAATATTAAATATAAAAATTT